CCCTGCTATTGTAGAGAGAAAAAGGATCAAAGATAATTGAGAGAGAATAGTCAGTGGAAAGGTCATAGAGAGACCTTGGATCTGAAATTGTTTCAACAATTCAGCCAAAAGATCAGTCTTTGGAGTATCATTTTCTGAGCGCCAACATTGTAATTTAGAAACAAACCATTTCCCCTACTATGCTTATAACACTGAGCTCAGTACTTCACTTTAGCACCAGCGGTGGGGAGATTTTTCCATACATCAGCTCCCTGATGGATACCACCTGAGTGTCCTGTAATTCAGTTGAGTTCGACTCTACCTGGAATTCAAGTCAGATCCCACAGATAAAGAGCTCAGCCCCTCAAGACTGACTCCTAATTCAGATGCCAGTCACATGTCTGGGCCTCCAGAACCTCTGACCACCTTGCTATAAATGGGGGTTCAGCAACCAGCCCCTTGGTTCTAGTAATTTGCTAAAGGGGCTCAATGAAGCTAGGACAATACTGTCCTGTGTGTACCAGTTTATTATATTAATAAAAAACAGGCAGAAGGGATTCATACGGTGAGGTCTGGAAGGGTCCTGAGCACAGGAGCCTCCGTCCCACGGACTCGGTGTGAGCCACCCACTCTGCACTTGGCTGTGTTTCGCCAAGCTTGAAGCTCTCTAAATCCTGTCCTTTCGACATCTCTTTGGAGGCATCATTGCATAGCCTGATTGATTATTGACTCCATTTGCAGCTCCTTTTCCCTCTTCAAGACTGGGAAGGTTTGGCTTGTTTGTGTTTGTTTGTTTGTTTATTTATTTATTTATTTGAGGTGACCAGCATCTATTGAGGAATCCAACAAGAGTCACCTTACTAGAACAAAAGAAGCTCCTCCAACCCATAAAATTCCAAGGGATTAGAAGCTCTGAGGCAGGAAAACAGGCACAAAGACTAAATATATTTATTATTATATCACAATATCACAGCCTTATATTGAAGTTACGAGAGTTAAAAGAAAGCATGAATAGTGAATAGTCATGCTGTGTGTGTGACTGCTGTTGGACTTTTCCAGGGCAAGAATAGAAAAGGCCATTGGAGATAGAACATTAAACAAAATTTTAAAAATTCTATCAGGAAATTACTAGAAAAATGATAGCAATTGAAGGAAAAAAAAATCAGCTAGGGACACAGTATACATAGAAAGGAAGCAAAAAGTGTTTGCAATAATAGTGGTATGAAGTTTTACTCTAAAAACTAACAAAGGTAAAGCAGTGAGCAGTTACTGAAGTCAACTGCCAAGCAACCAGGTCTTCATTTACTTAGATTGTAAAGTCTTTATTCAGTGGTCCATGCATATGTAATAGGAAGAGAAATAACGCCATTCAGTTCCCCAGTCATCTCCCATCCACACTTCAGTTACCTCAAATTCCAATTTTCCAAAATTAGAAAAGAGTAATTGTCATTTTACTCTGTATTCCTGTCACTGAACAAGATTGCTGGTGACTTCTTTATAGGGAGGAATAGCCCAAAGCAGAAAGTAGAAAGAAAAGGAAGCCCTGAACCAGTGACCTTGTGGGCAGGTTCTGAACAGCTAGAATGTGGATGCAGTGTTGGTGCACTTGTGAATGTGACAGGTGGCAATGAACAAGATGTGTCAGATATCTGAGCAAAATTGTGTTGATGTTTCTAGGTTGGGTGTTTATCTACTATCCAGAAGTCTTACCTGACGTCACTGAGTGTACATAGGGGGATTCTTGTTGTTGAGCTAAATAAATTACAATGTTTAGACTTTTATCTCACTTGGATAATTTATGGACTTTCCTGATGGAATTCTGATAATTCAATCTCATTTTACTCAGGGCTCCCAAGGACCAGCTGGAGAGCCAGGTATTCAGGTAAGCTACTTAGCTAAGTTATTATTGTTATTTCCCACAGCAAATTAAGTGTGCTTATTTGGGAATATTTCTGTAAGACTGTCCTCATACATATCTTTTTTTTTTAATCCCCCCCTTTTTTTAGGGTCCTCGAGGTCTCCCTGGATTGCCAGGAACTCCAGGGACCCCAGGGAATGATGTAAGGACCTTCTTTACCTGCCCCTGCCCCCATTCCCATTTTAATTTACACTTGTGCCAACCTGCAAAGATTTGAACATGATTGTCTCTTTCTCCAGGGATCTCCAGGCAGAGATGGAAAACCAGGCCTGCCAGGCCCCCCAGGTGACCCGGTATGTAGACAGACTCTGCCTGATTTATGTATCTTTAATGCACCCAGAAGCTAAGCAGCTCACCAAGCAAGTTTTGCTGTTCAAACTAATTAGAATGCTCAGTGACTGCTTGGTGATTTTGTTTATCCCCATTATTTTGTAAAGGGAAACAAAAATTCAAGCTGGGTCAGCATTTTTTTTGGTATGTGTTGAATTGTTATTTCTTGAGGGTATAATTCAACTATACAATTTGGCCCCAGGCTGAGCCTCTGTATGTAATGTCTCAATCCCATGAAAACTGAGATAAAATATATAGCCACAATTTCTGTTATTCCTAATGGTAGTGACCACATGAATTTCATTTTTCTAAATGAATGTTTGCAGGTAAGTTACCTACAGTATAGTATACATACATTGATTCTGTGGCTTTTAAATGCTTAGATGATTCAATTATGAAAACCAGTTTTAGTAGGCTCTTTTAAAAGTGGGTTTAGGCACTAAACGTATGTTCCAAAGTTTTATTTTAGGTTAAACCTTGCTTTGAGCGACAGTGAAATCCCCTTAAATAGCTTCAGACTCACCAGTTACAATTTGAGAGGCCATATGGTACATGTCATTGTATTAAGAGTTTCGTATACTAAGATCCAAATCCAGCCTCTCAGTTCTAAGCCTCCCAAATCCCTCTACCTCCCACACTGTTTGGGTCGTGTGCGCCTTTATAAGCTACATGCAGAGGCATATTTGGGCCTTACTTTATCTCTACCGCTAAGTGAATCATGTGTCCATCATCTGGGGATCTTGTGAAGTGTTACTTGGGTTTCCAGAGTATCTCTTTGAAGGACTTTTTAAAGACATGCAGCTGAAACATGGCCCGAGTTCCCCTGGTGTCTGTCTTATACATCACTTAAGGTAGATATAGACTGTTTTGAACTTTCATGAGAAATAACTTCAAAGCAAACTCATCTTATATTTTTCATATTTCTTAACAGCCTGATAATGTTTGGCAGAGTGATCTCTTTTTAATAAATGATTACCTTTATGCATTATTTAAAACCAATAATAGACTAGGGATGACATAGAGGCTGCCATGTCATGAAAATAGAAAACAAGAGATGCAGCATTAAAACAGTGATGTATGTTTATGGTAGGGGAATAGTGACTATTTCTCAAAAATAGTTCTGAATTCTTTCAGTGCATCAGTTTCTTGATATGAAACATAATGGTAAGCCAGTGATTCTGACAATGAGATTCTAGAAACCCCATGTCTAAGATATCAAGTGGCCTGGCAATTTGAAGAAAAAAATCTATATCATATTGTATGTTTGTATCATATTGTGTGCATGTATGTATAAATACATGAACTTGATTTTTTCTCCCTAACCTCAGATAGCACTTCCTCTCTTGGGAGACATCGGCGCCTTACTCAAGGTACTCTGTTGCTATGTTAGAAATTATGTGTTAATCTCCAGGAAAAATCAGAGGGGAAATCTTTATGAGAAATTGAGTTCATTGCTTAACCTGAACTATAATTTAATTTTTAATGAATGGCATAACATCTTAAGGTAGAAAAAGGATCATGTATCTTTTGTCATTTATGCTAATTCCTCCAACTCTCTTCTTTCTTAGCAATCTCTCATGTTAGGCATGAAAATGGGGGAGGGGAGTTCTGAGCTGAGCTACAGGCACAGCATAGTATATTATGGCCCTTGAGTAGCTCATTCTCTCCTCTGGCACAACAGCTTCCTCATGGGTGCTTACCCACCCTGGCTCAGTACTGCAAAAGCTAATCCTTCTCACTGGATCTGCTCTGATCTGTCCCAGGATGAACACCAGTACTGCTCAGTAAACGGCTAGTTCATAAGGCTGTGTTTCACTGGCATAGATTTTGCAAAATGAGCTACTGAATTCCAAAGTCTACAACTACCTTCACACCTGGTATAAAAATGATCTTTACCTATTATGTATTCATAGGGAATTAATATTGTTATGACTTTTTTTCTCTAGTGCTTTCATGTATTTCATCTGTAACACAGAATGAGTGGAGGGTTGATAATGGGATCTCTAAGGTTCTGTATTTGCAGCTTCTGTGTGATCTGCTCAAACTGAATGAACTCAGATGAACACCTTATGTCTTATCTTATGAATGGGCAATACATACATGTACACACACACACACACACACACACACACACACCCCTAGAGAATAGCTGTATATAAGTAGTTTAGTTTATATTCTTAGTATTCAGTGCAATGATTTGCACAGAAGTAAGACAGGCAAACATATTCATTTAATTTAATTTGAAAGACTCAAGAGTTCTACTGTATGTATTTGTTGGGTGATTAGAGTTTTGAGAATTGGTATGTAAGTGTAATTAAGAATATAAATATACAGGGTTTTTTCATCTCTAAAAGGCAACATATTCTTATAAATCAGAAAAGAGTATTTGTGGGAGTTACAGAACAATTTTATATTTATTGAGTTATAGTTACATGTCATAAGTAATAATATTTACTTATCTCATGTAATCTTCATAGTAATCCTCTGAGTTCAGACTGTAGTAGCCATCTCATTGTACAGATGAGAAACCTGAAGTTCTGAGCAGTTAAGTAACTTACTCAGAGTCACATGGCTAGTAAGTGTAGCATTAACAGGAACCAAGGTCCTCAGACATTAAATCGGAAGTTCTTCGTTTTTTTAGTAGTTTTGGAAATAGGGTTGTAGGAGTTACATTATTCCGGATGTTTGGGTTCTTATGTGTCAGAAACATGACACTTGAACAGAAACACATATCCTGATAGAATATAAGGTAGCTAACAGAACAGACAAAAACAAAAACTAAAAACTAGGAACAGATCCCAGTAAGAAGAGGAACCAGGGCTCCAGGTGTCTCAGGAATGGGAAGAATGACAGAATCACAAGAGTGGCTTCCCTTTAATAAATACACCCTTCCGTTGTTCCAGCTAGCATCATCTAACCGGGATTCTGGGTCCCAAGAGAGTCGATTGGTGAGAGGTGGGCAGGTCACTTTGACTTACAGTCTCAACCAACTATATTCAATAGGAGGATGTTTGTATTAGAGTTTCCCAAAACAAAATCTAAATACAGGAACTTAGGTTGGGAGTTGGTCATCAAATCAATCTCCTAATATAATGTTAAATCCTGATCCAGTTACTCAACACTAACTCTCCCTCTCTGACTTGAGACTTTAGCATGCTCAATCATCCTGCCTTCTCTTTTCAAATACACCTTTGGTTAAAGTATTGAGGGGGAAATGGCATAACTGCAGACTTCTCAAAGAACTTTTGCAGCCAGCAGGTGGCATGGAGGTTAAGGTGCTGGATCCCACATGGTTGACTACACAGTCTGAGTCATGGACCCAGCAACTTGAAAAACATGATGGGCGTGTGTACACATGTGCCCAGAATCATAAGAGAAATGTGGGGGAAAGGGGTTGCAGTGTGGCCATCTCCCCAGGAGGTGATTTCTCCTTTCCTCTCTCTCTCTGTCTCTCTGTCTCTGTGTCTCTAACAAGTGTACATGCCCTATAGCAAAAAAAAAAATTTAATTTAAAAATAAATAAATAAAAAAGCAAAAGACCTTTTGCTAGTTTAATTTGTGTATCAATCCCTTTTTGAATGGGATTATGCATTAGGAAATGTGATGCATCTTTTTTTCCACAAGAAATCTGAAGACATTCTTCAGTTTCCAGTTTCTCTTAATTCATTGTTTTGGTAAACCTAACCTAAAGAAAATGAGGTCACTTTCAAATGACTCTTAGAAAATTCTGTCAATTTATAGCAATTAGCATTTTTTAATATTTTACTGAAATGGTCCATTGAATAACCCGTTATAAAATGTTTGTGATTGGTCCCCTTCTTTCTCTCTCTATTTTGCATATAAACACCCTCAGGCATTAAAAAAAGTTGTTTTATGTTTCTATGCCAAGGTTTTTCTCCGTATTTATATGTCATGTTTATGTCTATGGATATAATAACTCATTTTCATATTCTTTTTGAAGTACAGAAACCATTTTGTTTCTTGTAATTCCTTAAGTATTTCTCTATCTTCATAGTTTTTCAGATATTATCAGTGATGGTTCTATAATTATATTACATATGCTTTTATTCCCTTATGAACATTTAGCCCTGTGAAATGATTCAGGGAGTAAAATTAGTTTGGGAAACATCACACTTAACGCCCACTCCCATTAATGTATTAAGACTCTAAGAAAGACCACCATAAATAAAACATTTTAAAAATATAATTGTTGAATTTTATTTATTCATTCATTTATTTTAATTTAACTAGGGAGAGAGAGGAAGGCAAAGTGAGAAAACAAGCCACCAGGTGTGGGACTTGAACTGTGGTTGGCCATGTAGGAGTGTTCAGCACCTTAACCACCATGCCACCTGCTGGTCCCAAAGAAAACTTATTTTTCATTTTATTTTATTTTTATTAGTCTTATTTTTTTAAAACATTCAATCACTAGACATCAGTTGGCTTGTAAAGAGAATTTACCCAACATGAAATACATCTCAGGCCAGTCTAGTTGAAAATACTATACACATTATCATCAATAGGAAATAAACCATTTCTGTGTCCCACAAATGTCCTGCCTCTATTTTTTCTCCCTGATTTCCTTCCCCATACTCTTCCCCTCTCCCACCCTCCTTCCACACTAACTCCAGCATCCATAGCTTTTTTCACTGTGTTTATGCCCTCCAATCTTTCAGTCACTACCATAGAGTGTGGACAATCAGTGTACAGTAAGTAGAGACATACAATATCTTTCTTTCATAGCCTGGCTAGCTTCACTCAGCAATCATTCTTCATATACAACCACTTTCTATCAAATGCCAGGGTCTTATTGTTTTTTTATGGTTTATTAGTCTAAAGAAAACTTTTCAATCTAGCATTTTTTAGACATTTTGCCTCTAAACCTTTTTAATATCTTACAAAATTATTGTTCTAAGAAGTTATTTTTGGAAATCTGACTTATGCTGATATCCACTGGTTCAAAAATATTGAACTTGAATAGCCATGGCATGACTTGCCAACTTCTCAGCAATGGCATGCTTTAGTTCTGTTTTCATATATTTAAAGAGTCTTCCCTTTATTAAAATGGATGAAAGAATAGTAGTTCATAATGCCCTACCTTCTGTCAGCTGGTAAACTACCTCCCTCACTCAATGGTCTTTATTCTATGTTGTCTTTAGTTATATCGTATTCCAAAATTTATTTAAAAATAAGCCCTTCTAGGGCTTTTCATAGACACTTTTTCTTTAGCTCTATGAAAACTTATGTTTGTCTATGAGCTCAGATGCTTAAATTCAAGCCTTTCCAGACCAGCTAAAGGTTACAAAGAAGGAAAAGGAAAGGTAATTTCACTTAAATTTCCTATCTTCACTTGAATTTGACATAGGACTCAAGCCCAAGTGACTCAAGAAATTATTTCTCACTTGAGTGCCTCCACTGACAAATGAAATGTTAGTAAACGGTGTTGAGGGTTCTCCAATTTTGCTCCCCAAAGGAGAAATTTCTTCTTCACAGTTTTTTGTCCTTTAATAATATATGCTATCGGTTGTACAAACTTGCTGGATATTTCTAACTTTATTATCAATTCCCTTTTAAAACATGTTGCTAAGTAATTGAAATTCAGTGCATGCTCTTAATTTATGTGTCTTTCCCTTATTTATTTGAAATTTTCCATTTAAATATCATCAGAGACATGTTTTAAATGAAAACTCACAAGTATAAATAGATACTGGAGATTAACTTTGTCAATAATTTTACCTCACTGAAAGTCAATTTTAAAATTGGATAAATTAAGTTTCTGAAAGCAAAGTGACCTAGCAGTGGATATATCCACTCATGTCTGATAAAGATTCAAATAGAACCTCAAATCAGATCAAACCTCACTTTCATAGACTGCTAGTATGAATCTCTCCATAACCCTGTCTTCATACTCACTAGAACTTCTGTGGCAACTGCCAAGCGAGTGTCCCTGGGCTGAAAAGCAACAAAGAGGAAGGAGGTGCTGGTGAGCCTGGAAAGTATGATTCTGTAGCACGGAAGGTAAGAAGGCTGGCTGATGTTTGTGGACGCTAGTACACATCATGCATTCTCTCAGTTCTGCTACTGCTCTGTTCTCTAGGGCGACATAGGGCCACGGGGTCCTCCAGGATTCCCAGGCAGAGAGGGCCCAAAGGTAAGGAAGTCTATTCTCCACTCTTCTCAATGGGACCCTCAATTCATTATGAAAAAAGAAATCCCATTTAAGGGACCAGCAGTTGGCATAATGGCTATGTCACTGGACTCCCATGTAGTTGACCGCAGTTTGAGTCCTGGACTCAGTGGCTTAAACTCATGCTGGGCGTGTGTGCGTGCGTGCCCAAGATCCCAAGAGGAGAATGGAGGAGAATGGATTGCAGTGTGGCCATCCCCCCTGGGGGATGATTTCTCTCTTTCTGTCTGTCTCTCTCTGTCTTTCTGGCAAGCACATGTGCCCTATAGCAAAAACCTTTCCAAAAAAAAATTCCATTTAAGAATACACCACTTTGGCTTAGCCACAATGATGGAGTGGTAGCACAGTGCTCTACAATACTAGGAGTGATACGGAAGATCAGAGTTCAGTTCCTGGGTCCATGAGTACACACCAGACTCATGTTTATACACATGCCATGATCCTAGCTGGCTAAGAAAAGGCTGGAAGAGATAACCACAGCCGAGACCCTTTTGAGGATGCTTACCTTTCTCTCTCTGTCTCCTGCTAATAAAAAAAAAAAGCACATAAACATTTTTAAAAATAAAATGAAATTACTATTTTTAAATCTATATTTTTATATTATATGTAATATATCTCTATATTATATAGAGAGATATTATATATATATAAAGTGGTGTAAAAGCCATTGCCATTTACTTGTTCCTGTCCCTATCCAAATTACGTGTCCAAAGTGTCCTGACAAGAGATTTGTTGTTGTTACTCCAAAAGATCAAAAGATGCATTTGCCAACCAAATGTATTGTCTTTTCAGGGAACCAAAGGAGAGCGGGGCTACCCTGGAATACCTGGGGAGAAAGGTGATGAGGTAACAACAGACTTCTACTATTGATTCTCTATATTTAATTTAACAGAGGAAAGACATAATTTTTTCCTTAACTTATACTTAATATTAAAACCAATAAAGACAAAGAGTAAGTAGGACTTTTAAGTGCTAACACAGTTTAAATAATATGTTCATGTTGACTACTCATGGTCCAAATTCTTTGAGACAAGGAAATTAAGGCACGAAGTTAACATATCAGATATGGCTTTTCTTGTTCATATATCAGATAACAGTGCCAGTGTTATTGAGATAAATACAAAGGAAATAAGGAAGGGAAAACTTAATTTCAAAAAACCCCAGGATTTCTAAAAGCATTGAAGAACAGTTAAACTACCAGTCTAGGAATAAGGGCAGCTCTAGACTTCAACGGAGCTGCCCTGGGATACAGCTGTAACATGATTCAACTTTGACTACTTTATTTTTCTGTGTCTCTACTCAACTTCCAAATCCTGGGAGGAAAAAAATGAAAACCAATAGCACTGTATGGTAGAGACTGAAAGTCTGCAGAACATCAAAGTATTAAAAATTATAATGGACACTAGAGGCAAAGTGGAAAGAGAGTGTGAGAGGGGAAGAGCATAGGAAATTTTGGGGGGGAAGGAGAGGTAAGACACTTGTGGGACACAGATAAGGTTTATTATCTGTTGACAAGGGTGTGTGGAGGGGTCTCAACTGGGCTGGACTGAGGTGTATATCATGTTGGGTAAAGTCTCTTCACAATCTAAATGATGTATAGTGATTTAATGTATGAATAATAATAAAAATAGAAATAAATAAATACACTTAGATATTAAAAAAAAGAAATTGGTTTTTCTTTTAGAGGATTTTCGGTTTTTGTTTTTTTTTAAGCTTTGTTTATTTTCGCTGTCAAGAATTTTATTTTTACTTGTAATGTTTAAAGACCATCTTATCACGGCAGATTATTTTGAGATATTAATAAAGCAATTATCCACCCCCCCCCAAAAAAAAAGCAATATGAAGGATCTGGACTAGTTTATATTAACTGCTTACCCAGAGGACTAAAGTTCCAACTCAAAAGTGCTTGCAAGATAATGGTATGATTTTCTGACTCCCAGCCATGGTGATACCCAGAATATCATTCTTGTCCTGCGTAATTCTCATTAACTCTTAGAAAAACCAATTAGAATGATGAATTGTTGTTAGTTTAAACAGTTTTGATACTAATAATTCTTAAACGAAAGTAAGTAAGCCATCTGGCGTGTATTAACCTTGATGTTAGTGCAGAAAATCACCCAGTATAAAGCAGATCTATTTTTCTAGTCAGAGGTATATTTCACATTACAAGTTATCATGATATATTATTGTTTTAATTAATATTGATTCTATTCTGGAAAACTTTGATGTTGAGCTTGTTTTTTTTAAAAGAACAAAAAAGTATAACATTTATTTTCATCCCTAAACAAAACACTATAGGCATTTGATTCTCAAAATAAGTAATCGTTATTGAACATTTCTCAAGTGCCACAGAAGATTTCACTGAAGTACAAGCACAATAACTGATTTTAAATACTCGAACAGCTTTTAACTGCCTAGATTCAAGAGGTAGACTTTAAAGGCAGTTGAGAAGGTAATAACAAAAAGATCATGAACTAAATGGAATTCGGGCTTTTTATAAGTGACTCACAGTGAAACTCACTGAAAGTTCATTTTTATTGATTCTGCAGGGTAAGTTGCCCTCTTTGTGCACTGAAATTCGTTGTTAATGCTCTCTCACTATTTTAGTGTATTCTCTCTGAGGTATACCTTATGGCTTCTTTGACATAGGATATACAAAATTTTAAACAAGAGTCTTATTACATGGAGAAGTCCAGCAGGTTCAGGAGATCTTTTTCTACTGGTTTTTCACATCACATGAATAGTATGAGTAAACTTAAAGTATCATACTGACTGAGTTGAACCTTTTGAGAAGAATTGGGCAGTGCAGCTTTTAGCTCAAATTTATCCTAAATAGTAAATATAATCTTGTCTTCTACTGGGACCACCTAAAATTATAATCTATTGATTTAGCTGAAAAAATCTTAGGCCACAACCTATCAACTGACCGATAACTGTACCATATGTACGTAATATCTAATCTTAAAAAATCTCAAATGTCTGTTCTACTCTTAATGGAAAAGACATGGAGGGGACACCTTGTCTCTTTGAAAACTTCTTTTTTTTTTTTTTTTTTTTTTTTTTTTTGAAACTTTTTTTAGTTAATTAATTTACATTCATTTCCTAAGCTATAAGGTGCATGTGCTCACCTGAGAGACAGAGAAGCAGAAAGCAAGAAATCACCCCTCAGGGAAGATGGCCACGCCGCAATATCTTCTCCATTTTCCTCTCAAGATTTTGGGCATGCACTCACTTGCGCCTAGTGTGAGCTTAAGTCACCAGGTCCAAGACTCAAACCGCAGTTGACTATGTGGGAATCCAACAAAATAACCATTACACCATCTGCTGGTCCCAAAGGCTTCTAATTATTATGTCTTCAATTTAATCTGCCTGAGAACGTAGAGAGAGGGTTACCTGCTTGTTTATTGCTCTTTAGTAAAGTGATACCATCTTCCACAATTTTCTCAGCTGTTTTCCACAACAACGTAGCAAGTGTCAAGATGCTAATAGAACACAGCTTCACCTCTCATACTGAGTCATTTCTGGCTTGGAATGCAGATCTGCATACAATATTTCAAGGTAGTAATTGATAAATCGGACATGAAATATGTCATCAGCCATAAACTATACCAACAGAAAAATAAATTTTCTTAGTAGCAACTTCACTAGGACTTGCAAGATCAAAATATCAGAGCAAGGAAAGAACTTGGCTCTAATGATCCCTGAATATCTATGTAATAAATTTTAATTTGTATTTTAGTTTGGCATATATGCTAAATTGACTGTCCTACTCTTTAATATGTATGTGCCTTCTTTAATGACCACCTTGTCTTCTAAAATTATCTTATTGCCCTTTATGCATCCATAGTAACTTTTACCCTTACTACAAAATTTCAGCCTGTCCAGAGAAAGACTGCTGAGAATGATGTTTTTTTTATTTATGGACTGAGGTTTATTTTAAAGTTTAATGTGGTCATCAAAGGTTAATGAGTCCCAAGCTTATAAATTAGACTTCCTAAAAACTCACTCAGCATCTCTAGACTAATTCAGTGTTGAGACTAAAAGGTAGCTAAAAAAAAAAAAAAAGGAATACCTATGTGCATGCATATCTTATACAGGTACATACAGAGAGAATGTTTGGAAATGTGGGTTTTCTGATAGAAGGAAATTTCTGGTATAACATTTGTCATCTCCAATCATTAAGAGGTACCATTCCCAAAGGAAAATTATTTCCTTTTATTTATGAGCTAGTAAACAAGCTAATAGTAAGGGAATAACAACAGTCTAATGAATAGTTTGCATATGCACACACACACACGCACACACACATACACGCAAACAGCATTGCCAATGACAGTGATATAATGTTGAAAGAAAATATGTCAACATTCTTTAACACAAGTATACACAAAATTTTAACCAAGACGTATTACATAAAGAATTCTAGCATGTTCCAGAAGATTCTTTTGCATATTACATAAATAAGCCTGAAGTAACATAGGAGCCCATTGGGCAATGGATAGAAAGTCAGGCAGAGCTTGGTTCTTGATCCCATCATTGCAAAGAAACTTGATCCAGCTCAGTCTTCCAGAACGCTCATAAATAGAAGAATTCTTTACTCAGTAAAAGAATTTAATTTCTGAAAGAGTGAAACCATTTAAATCTAGAACTTGCATCACATGGTTATCTGAAATTACAAAAGAATACTTAACATTCTTTTTTCTGACTGTGGAAGTGATCTAAATTTATTATAGAAAATTTAAGGAATAAGTTAAAGCACTACAAAGATAATATATCTCTATCCCCACTGCCCAGGAAGGACTGCTTATAATAATAATATTATGATCCATATCTCATCGCCCACAATTCCAATACCCAAAAACCTCCGAAACCCTGGAAACTTTTCCCCGAGTATGCAGCAAATTCATTTGACAACAAAATTTGACCTGAACTCATATGGAGTTGAGCCATTTCTTTTACCCTGTCAGAATAGCATACATTCTTGCTATAGAAATATCTGTGTGCTTATTAAAAGGTGCTGCCCCAGGGACCCCTGGGAGTGTTACATAATATCCAGAATATGCACTGTGCTACCTTTGTAAAAATATCTGAAAATACAGAATGCTGAAACACATCTGAAACTAAAGTTCCCAGATAAAACATTAATCTATTGGTTATGGTCAATTAATACAAACTTCTATCATATCTATCTTTAAAGAGTATATTTATAACATGTAAAACATTAGTCCCTATGCTATGTAACATTTAATTTTCCATGTTATCCAATTGTTTTCTAAAACATGATTTTAACAGTTGCAAAATATTTCATGTTACAGACCTTAACATTACTTAGCTAATATGCTGTTGTTGATATACTTGGTAAAGGAACAAAATTCATTACACAAGTTGCCAGTTAATCTTGACAATTTGTCCTTGACATATGAACATATGAGCATCTTAAATCCTGTCTAGTATACTTAGCATTATACTAAAAAAATATAAGAAGGGGAGGGAGAAAAAATTCGATTTGCTTTTTATGCTTAAGCCATTAAAGGTTTCTAAATCTAAATTTGTCAATGAGCCAGCTTTCTTCTTGTAATGAACTGATCAGCTTAACTAAATTTTATATTAAAATGTAGTCTTATTTTCCCACTACATAAAGGATGCTTTAGTATAATCATGTGTTTCTTTGATGGCATTCTGCCAGTCTGAAATTTGTATTTCTGTGCGTTAGCAGTGCAGCATTCTCGGCAATGCAACTGCTGACAAGGTGGCAGCTTTGCTGTAAGATCAGAAACAATCTGTTAACCATAAACATACATTTACAGAGGTCATGGCATTTTAGCTCGCCATCTGTACTTTTTGAAGATAAGTATTTGTATATGACATACATCATATTTCTCGATTAGCTAAAATGTATATGTTTAATTTTTAGTAGTCAAAATATTTGGTTAACAAATGCCTAAATGTTCACAGTGATATGACCAATTTTATGGAAGGAACTCTCTCTTCTAGGGTCTTCAAGGAATTCCAGGCACTCCAGGTGCACCAGGCCCTACTGGACCCCCTGTAAGTATCTTCAAATTTCTCTGACTCACCCTCGATAGCACACATTGCTAGGATGCTGTGCTCTGCAGGCTGGGACCAAATACCACCTGGAAGGCTTGGCTTCAGTTCCTGGTTTAACCTAAGGGCCAGGTGCAATGGCATGTGCCTATAATCCAGGCAATTCGAAGCAGCCGAGGCAGAAGGATCACGAGCTTGAGGTTGGCCTGGGCAACACAGCAAGATGCTGCCTGAAACGGGGCTGAGCTGACACCAGCAGATGGCATAATGCTTATGTTACTGGACTCCCACGTAGTCAACCACGGTCCCAGCCCTAGAGCCAGCGGTTTAAAACTCACACCAGATTTTGGGCATCCAAAATCCCGAAAGGAGACTAGAGAAGGGATTGTGGTGTGGCCAGCCCCCCTAGGGGGTGATTTCTCGCTTGCTGTATCTCGGCCCTGCTCTGTCTCTCTGGTGAGCACACATGCCCCATAACAAAAATCTCTCTAAAAATTAAAAAAAAGAAAGAAAGAAAGAAAAGAAAAAAAAAAAAAAAAGAAAGGAGCTGAGTTTGGTGGTATGCATCTGTAGTTCCAGCTGGGAGATCAGAGAGGCAGAAGTATCACAATAGCAAGACATTGTCTAAAAAACAAAATGAACAAACAAACAAAAACCAGAAAGAAAACAACAAAGGCAACAACAAAAAATAATTCTGCTCAGAGTTCATATTTTCTGGAATGATGTAAGGTAAATTAGTATTTTTTTATTCTCTCTGCCTCTGTATACTAGCTATTGCCTAGAAAAGTAGCCTCATCCAACATCTCAAATTTTCATTTAGCATTAAGGCTGCTAAGTGTCCTAAGAGATTTGTTATCAGAATTCTACAAAACCAGAAATGTCTGTGACTAAGCTACTCTATTTGAAATAAAAGTTGGATCTGGAAGAGCATTCTATTTTTTTGGTTTGAATGTTTGGGTACTAACCTTTGGAAGAGTTCTTCAGATGGTGACATCCTATATTCTTAAGCACCATAAACGTAGAACTTAACTACTGGAGAGAAAAGAGGGGGCAAGGATTATCAGATATAATTTCTTTTTATTCAAATATGTGAATTAAAACACCTCTGTTTAAGTAAGGCTTTTTTCTTCTTCTTCATGGCTCCTCAAACATTTTACAAACTTTGTATCTCTTCTTTTTTTTTAGGTTTTTGCCATAAGGCACGTGTGCTCACCAGAGAGAGACAAAGAGATAGAAAGTGAGAAATTACTCCCCAAGAGGAATGGCCATGCCACAATCCCTTCTCTACTCTACTCTCAAGGTTTTGGGCACACACACACAGCACCCAGCATGAGTTTCAAACCACTGGGTTTGGGACTCAAACTACAATCAGTGGGAGTCCAGCGCCTCAACCACCATGCCACCTGCCGACCCCAACCTCTGTACCTTTTATTATCTTATTTTCCTAAGACAGACTCTTTCTTTCCCACCTGCCAAACACGATCTCTTAAGTGAAGTTCAATTTTAGGTTTACAAGATAAAATATAAGACATGCAGTTTAATTTGAATTTCAGAACAATTTTCCAGCAATTTTTATAGAATGTTCGTTCTAAATACTGTATTTTTTGTTTGTTAAATCTAGCAACACTGCTCATATCTTAACTTTTCCAAGTCTTCCCTCCTTAGCACTCCTTTCAAATCAAGTCCTTACCACTTTATCAAGTAGGAATGTAGTCATATTCCTTAATGTTTTGAATTATGGATTCATCATAATTTCAGTGTTATCATTTATGCATTCACCGCAGTTATATAAAACAATCCTGACTTTAAATTGCACACTAAAATTAAAAGTTATAAAAAAGAGTTGTGAAAGACATCAAGAAAATTTTAACTATTACCAAAGAATTAAAGTTAAATTTTATTTTCCATTGGTAAATTATGATCACATAACTCAATATGTGCATTGTTAATTCTGCCATGTCTTGAAGTATTTAAAATGTTGAACGACCAAAATTATAGCTCATTTAGCAAGACATAATGTTATGTAAATTGCCATTTAAACAGCAAGGCTAGATTCTTAAATGTATCAAAAGGTTCCAATTAAGGTCATTAAATGTGGTTGGCCAAGGTGAAAAAGCAACCACAGATACAAATTTCACCCTTCCGAGTCTTATCAGTAGGATACAGCTGCTGGATCAGCCTGAAGAAATATAAGCTTGTAGGACTGATTTAATTAGGATCAAATGACCTTCAAAATACATAAGTTTAACAACCAGTTTTCAATACCCTTTGGCCATTTGGTTGTTTTTTCTGCAACAAACTTAGTTTTGTGTTTTACAGGGCTTATTGGGACGAACTGGACATCCTGGTCCTGCAGGAGTAAAAGGTGACAAGGTACAGAAGGAAAACGTCACTTACCATGTGAATTGAACTTTGGGATAGGAGCAGGGTGAAACTGTGTACAGAAAAAGCCATAAAATCAATCAAAGCTTGAATGTAAGAGGGATGTCAGGGAGTAGCTGTTCTTGAAGTGGACTTGGAAGAACATAGGTCCAAAAGTTGGTCCAAACACAGAAGCCGTGTTCCTAGGAGTAAAGATGAATAGAACATTGGTGCCATAAATCAAGAGTCGAGGCAGAGCCCAGGGCATCTGTCTATGTGGAGAGGCAAGGTAGGGCTAGGGTAGCCTCATAAAGATGTAGGTAAGGGGGATTATATCAGGGAGTTCTAGCCATTGGTGGTATCTTTAGCCATTGAGTTTTCTTTAACAAAATACCATACTCTGGGTGACTGATAAACAGCAAACATATATTTCTCACAGTTCTGAGGACTAAAAAGCTCAAGCTCAAGGTGCTGACAGATTTGTGTCTGGTAGGACCCACCTTCTTGTTAATAGAGGGCACCTTCTAGCTGTGTCCTTACATAGAGGAAGGGTGACAAGCTCCCTTGTGTCTCTGTTACAGGGCATTGATCCTATTCGTGAAGATTCTACCCTCATACCCTAATCACCTTTCAAAGGCTCTACTTCCTAATAGCTCATCCTACAGGTTAGGATTCATCATGTAACTTTGGAGAGACACAAACTTTCATACAATAGCAGGTGCTAAAGCTCCAGATAGCATGCCTGCTGTCAAGGCTAGGATTCCAGTAACCAAAGGGCTTGCTGGACAGTCAGGAAGTTCTGTTTCCAGAAGGTCATAGAGCAAATTCATTGAGGAACCAGGGTAATTTCCTGGGAAGCCAGTTATTGCACAAGTGAGTTGTTGTGGTCAAAAGGGAAGAGCAGTAATAGAAGGGTCACAGACAGGAAGACTACAGGCCTGCCATGTTTACCTGATTTAGAATCTATTGATAAACTGACTGCAGAGTCCACAAATGAGTGAAAAAGGCCTAGCTAGGGACCAGTGGATGGCGTAATGGTTATGTCACTGGACTCCCATGTAGTCAACCACAGTTCAAATCCCAGAGCTGGAGACTAAAAACTCACACCAGGCACATGTGCATGCATGCCCAGAATCCCAAAAAGAGAATGGAAGAAAAGGGATTTCAGTGTGGCCATCCTCACTGGGAGCGGGAGGTGGGATGATTTCTCACTTCCTGAGTCTCTGTCTCTCTCTGGCGAGTACATATGCCCTATAACAAAAATCTCCAAAAAAGAAAAGAAACGAAATGAAACAAAACAAAACGAAAAGAAAAGAAGAAAAGAAAAAAGAAAAGATAAGAGAAAAGAAAAGAAAAAATAAAAGATAAGATAAAAGAAAAGAAAAAAAGAAAAGAAAAGAAAAGAAAAGAAAAGAAAAGAAAAGAAAAGAAAAGAAAAGAAAAGAAAAGAAAAGAAAAGAAAAAAGAAAAGGCCTCGCTCTTCAGATTAGAGAAATAAGAATCAAGAGTCCACAGGAGCCACTCAGGTGGCTTCTACCCACTTGTCGGGATTCAAGCTCCCTGACTAAAATGGAGCATACTGGTGTCAAGGAGCACAGGAATACCAACAGATATAAAGGAAACAATGTGCTTATTCCAAATAGTCTCGGCACGGTTTTTTCTGTGACTATTCCAAGGAGCTTGCCCAGCCCCACCAGCCTTTTTTCTCTGTTCTCTATGGAAATTACTCAGGCATTCAAGGCAGACTTGCCTTTGAAGTTAATGGGAATTCCACATTGAGAAGAGCTTAGGGGCACACATGAGAATGAAAACATGACTTTTAATTGTACTAGGAGGGAAAAAAAAAAGTCTTTTTACTAGCACATACTTTCCCTGTTTGTTGATGCATGAGAACTATGACCTAACTCTCTGAAGGACAGTGCCAGCAGTCAGCAGACTATGACAGGCCTTAGGGAGAGAGCCACCATCCTGGTAGTTTGAGAAAGGAAACAAAGCACTCATTCTTCGCCACACAGCCAGGCAGATGCATTACAAGAACAACTTTACAGTTTATTTTACTGATAAACTTATAAAGGAAAGATTTTATGTGTGTAGTTTTTATTTGTGTGTGTGTGACTAAAAAAAATGGAACAGGATCACAATGAAATCCTTCATAAAATGTATGGAAATGGTTTGAAATCCCTCAAAATTCTTGGGCATCGAGAGTAGGAATTTTACTCTCTCTGGATTCTTTTTATAATTAACCATTTCTCGCCATTGCCCCTAATGTAGAGGGACTTAAAAGATTCTGTGAAGCTACTCTCCTAAAAAGAGAAGCACAGTGATAGGAAGAACCGGTGGAAGACACCAAAGGGACTGCAGTAATTCTGCTCACGATGGACTGAGAAGCAGTCTGTGTTTTACAAAAATAAAAGTGAATGTGTTCTTCAAGTTTCCACCTGAATTCATTATTCACAAATTCCACCTTTAGTGTCCTTTTTCTGTAAGCGGAATGTCTAAGGCTGTGTAAAGTGTATAGACCATTTCCCTTTCAGCAGTGATTGTACCACAGTCCTTCTGTTCAGTGGGAGCTGTCTGACTTGGTTTTTAAGCTTGATATTAACCTAGGACATGGAAGAAGTTTCTTCTGCAGATACAACACAGGTTGTGATTTTCTGCTTTGGTCAGAGTGTAGCTGGTGCCTCTAGTTTTCAAGAAATGACAGTGAGCGAGGGGAGACTAAAAGTGAGGGCAGACCCAGGACGACAATCCCAGAGCCCACTGTGTGCTTGAAGGAGCTCTGTTCTGCTCCCCCAGGTTGGGCGAGCTCCTCTCTGCACTGGAAGTCCAGGACACAATCATCTGGGTTGTCTGGCTCCATCTAGAAACAAACTTCCCCAGAGCTCACACACTGAGAATCCCGATGGACATGGGGAAGACATTCACCTTTCCTGTGATCTAGAAATGTACTTACTAAATGTAAAGGAGGAAGCTAAGCTGAATGAGACTTGCAAAACTAAAACTAAAGAACGACCAGTCTGGCTGATTTCAAAAGATGGCTCCTGAGCAAGCACAACCTGGTTCATAAACTTGATGTAGAAATGTCTATGTCATTGATTTTGGTCTATATATTGTTTGCAGGGTAGCGAGGGACCGCCTGGGAAGCCCGGACCACCTGGACCACCTGTGAGTTGTTTCAGGTTCAAAACTTAATATTCATGTATTTATTTAAGGCATTTTAAATTCAAAGGTCAGATTACGTTTAGGAGTTCTCAGAAATGAAAGTCTTCTGAGTTTTATGTATAAATATAACTGCAGCGTTGGGAGAGCTATTTGTCCTTTAACTCAGCCTTAATGTGCACAGTGCTCAGATTTGCATGTCAAAACTGGGTGCCCCAGCCCCCTGCTTCCTGCCTGGAGCACTGTGGAAAGTAATTTACCACAGAAGAAGCAAGGAGCTGTAAAAGCAGATCCCTCCTGGCAATGTGTTAGTAGAAAATTTGATGTTATACTATATGTGTTTGTTCCCAGCCATGACGTCTGAAATGCAAGGAAATTCTATTTATATAGCACCTAGTGAACAAAATGTACACGAGCCACCGTTGTTTTTACACTCAGGATGGAGACAGACAGATGTGCACTCAGCCAGGGCTGCGTGGAGAGGAGAGGTGCCTCTCTCCGTGACAAGTCTGCCCTCATGTGGGGCCACACATGAATCACAGCAAGCTGAGGTTCAGGCCGGTCTTTTTCCACTGACCTCCGAAGAATGACTAGTTGAAGCTAACCTCACTGAAGAGGGGACAAATCTGACTGTAACTTTCTGAGGATGACAAGGCTATGTTACTAGTCCGCATGCACTGCACACTTTGCACACGTAAACTAAGAGATATTTGCAGGCTGTTTTCCTAAACCTGTCCATATTTGTTACTGCCCTCCTTTCTTACAAGGAAGCAGGACAGAAAATATCTGGGATTCAAATCCTAAAACACACTCTCTCTACAGTAGACAGCACAGCAAAGATAACATGAGCTCACATAAGGGACCTATGGTTTTTTTTTTTCTTTTTCCTGGAGAGTGCATGAGCTTGAGCTTGTTAAAGAGACAGAGAGGGTAAGAGAGAAAGTATTCTCCAGTGGGTTTGTGGTCACACCCTAATCCCTTCTCCTCCATTATTTCATCATGTCAGAATTTGGGGCATATGCATGCATGTGCACCCAGCACGTTTCTCAAACCATCGGGGCTATGATTTGATCTGCACAGTCAGCCATGTGGGAGCCAGTTCTCTTGACCAGTAGGCCACAGGCGCTTAAGAAATCATCCTTGGGACCAGCAGGTGACGTAATGATTAAGGCACTGGACTCCCTTATGGGCAACTGCAATTCAAATCCCAGACCCAGCAGCTTGAAGCACGCCAGGCATGTATGCATACATGCCCAAAATCCCAGGAGGAGAATGGAGGTGAAGGGATTGCGTCATGACCATGCCCACTGCAGGGGGTGATTTCTCGCTTTCTGTTTTTCTGTCTCTCTGGCAAGCACACGCACCCTATAGCAAAAATCTCTCTTTTAGAAAAAAAGAAGTCATCCTCTTCCCTTTGATTTCTCCAAAACCATCATTCAAGACATAGGTTAAATGTTATCCTCTCTGGGAACCTTACTCTCGAAATCTCAGATAAAAATGTCCTTTGTCTCTGCAGAAATTTGCACATGAAATATACAGGACATGTTCAATAACTGCCAAACGAATGAGTGAAATAACAAGTGAATAAATATTATAGATGGATCATTTTTCTTCCATCACAAGAGTTTTAAGACACATGCAAATTGTGTTCACTGAGCACCACTAGCTACCATTATCCAAAAACAGGGATATGGTGACTTCTTCAATTTTGTAACAAAAATGTGAAATTGCAAAAATGAAAATGTCGATTTGTTATTGAATCTATGGAAACTTTTTAAAAGAAGGTTCAAAAAACTCAAAAATATTGATAGGCAGATCTTTTCCTAGATGCTAAAATGTGAAATTTTTTTTTTTTTTTAACTGCAGAGTAAGTTCACTTTAACTGTTGGATAGTATGGGACTTTAACATTCACCTGCCAATTTTCTCAGGAAATTCAATGTTCCTCATTGAACTAAAGAATATTTATTTGGGGACCAGCCAATGGTATAATGGTTATGTTGCTGGACTCCCACTTAGTCTACTGCAGTTTGTGTCCCAGACCCAGCGGCTTAAAACTCAAGCCATACTCATGTGTATGTGTGTGCACAAAATCCCGAGAGGAGACTGGAGGAAAAGGGGTTGCAGAGTAGTCACCCTCCCAGGAGGTGATTTCTCGCTTTTTGTCTCTCTATCCCTCTTTGTCTCTCCAGTGAGCACACGTGCCCTATAGCAAAAAATCTCTTTAAAAATATTTAGAAAGAATATTTATTTGTAAAAATATCTATGCAAGGCTGTGATGAATGTTTTCTCTCCATTTACCTTAATTTTATATTTGGTATGAAGAGACTGGAAAAAAATTACTTTTCAGTAGCCAAATTGTTCCCTATTCACATCTTCATCTGCAATACTGCATTATAGCCTGCGGGTCAGCATGTTGTAAGTGGTTAGCATAAATTGGCAATTCGGAAACTGAATTTTAATGAGCAAATAATATTTTCCTCTGAATGCATTAGTGTCTCATCTATCAAACCTGAACATTAATCAAACCCAAACTGAAAATGTCTGCGTGCTGGCAGTATAACTCACACTTCTTTCTCTTTCTTTCACTA